GGCGGCGTTGTCAAATTTGCGATTACAGAGTTTATTGCTTTTCAAGCGGCCGGCCGAGTGTTTTTTTCACCATACCGACAAAGCGTAGTGTTGGGACCCATTTGCTCGGCAACCTGTCTTCTATTGGGCACTGGCTTCGAGCACAGAATAATTCGGTCTGCCGCTAGCGTTGTTACTGGACGACCCACCCTTATAAATAAAATGTTTCGCCTTCTGTTCGAAATTCTTTTTTAACGAATATACAAGATAATTTTTGTAAACATGCCAAAACTATAAAATTCAATATTTCAGATAATAGTGAAAGTGAAGCGTGAAGAATTAGAGTTTGCACAATATTAGAAGTTTCATATCGAAAAGTTTCACATTATACAGAAATAGCCAGTTGATGGTACTTCAAACGAAAATTTAATCGAACTCCGCCTTACTTGATTTTTTTCTTTCTCTATGAGTTTATTTAGATAATAATAATAATCAATATTTATGGAAATATTGATCAGAGTCGGACCAGTTTTTGCTATTTTCTGAATGTTTTTGGAACACAAACTGATTTTACATTTAAATAATCCAGGGCCTTACTTTTTTTTTATTTGTTTACACGATCAATCTACGCACTGCAATTTCAATCTATGTTATTTTTTCATTTTCGAACGCAATTAGACCAATATGTAAAAAGTATGGCTTAGAATCAATTTCTGGTGTGTAAATAATCATGTAGATCGGTTTGCTATGGTCTATATTAAATGTTACAATTTGGTCTGGACAAATCGTAAATTTGCAAAAAAATGAATTTAGAACTTCACTTCATTATGATACCACCTACCATTTCGCTATGTCCATTCCAAACAATCTGTATAGGTTATCTCTAGGGATATTGGTAGGGTCAATAGATTTTTTAAAATGATTTGATTTTTTTATGTTGGAGGCTAGACAAGTAGACTGTGGAGTGCCGATGGACGTTAAAACTAAAATAAGGAAAAATCTGAACATTTATATTGGAATATTTATCAAACCATTTTTTTTAAGTACTTTCAGTTTGATGAAATTTTTTACTGAATATGATTAAGCAACGAACTCGATACTTTCCGAAAACAATTGTAATAGGAAAGCAGCGTGGCCCCTCCTGAGAATCCGATTGTTTCATAAGGTTTGCATATTTAGCATGCTTTTAGGATTTGCCCCCCTGAGAAAATTTGCTACTCCCCGCTCTTCCTCGGGCGCCCAGGTGCCCATGCAGATCTTGATGGCTTTTGGGCGTAGTCAGCTGTTTTTTATATTCTAATTGAAATTAAATTTTTTCTGTTTCGACGTATATCAACCTTAAATCATATTAGAGCAACGCCAAAAAAAAAAGGGTTTTTTTGAACTTTTTGATTATTTGTGATTCTGTTCACAAAAATTCGATTTGTTTAAGAACCAGCGAATCGAATTAAATTTGACCGGGATGTAATTAATAATATAGCAACCGCGCAAATACTGCAATTGTGCTTAATTTTCTGCTATTGTTGATTTTGTTATGGATAATTAATTTTTCCCCAGAGGAGAACTTGCTTTTCAAAAATAGTAAATACTGGTCATAGTCTAGCAATAGATTGTACAAAAATCAGATTGATTGATCTACAATAACAGCTTCAAAAAATGAGATACGGGTAGCTAAACCACTAACATAAAGTTCGGCCTCAACAGTAATTTTAAAAAGTAACTACCGTTTTAAAAGAAAGGGTTCAAATTGTTTTATGGAATTGCGTTTACGCACCTTGGACACGCACACGTGCCTTTCGAATTTTCAGTTTCAAAGTACACACAAACAGCACAAATCACATTAGTGAAAAAACAAAATACGAGTGCACTGCTCTGAAGGATAGGTTTCAGGCAAGTAAACATCGGAAGTAAATAAAAGCCTCCAATAACCTTTTCCTTTAGACAAAAAAATTTGGAATTTATTATTTGCTACCTGCTTCCTGGAATGAATACATTTTTGCTAATACCGATTCAGTTGCATTTAAGAAGGTGAATGCGAGAAACTAGTAAATATTGATAACAATTGATATTATTAAATACGCCAAAATAAAGGAATCTGGTACTTTCTGAAGAACGAAAAGAAAAAAGCTCGCCGCAAATGGGATAGAATCACCACAAAAAATTTACGTTTTTCATATCTAATTGATATTACGCTACCCCCACCGCATTTTATATGTACATATAATCACTGTCATAGCTAAGTATTATAAAATATTCACGTGAAATAATAGTACTTGTTTTTTTTAACAAAATGCTTAATTATGGTCAATGGCAATGGCTTAAGTCACAGTACATTATATAATCAGTACCAACTAAAAAATATTTATATTTATTAGGAAGTCGAAATTTCCGCATCTCTCCATCCATTTCAAGTGTCATAGGTTGTCAATGTAACTATAACATTTCCAAAAACTTCGCTGGCTTCTGAAATTTTCTTGTTTTCAACAATCTGACAACCTATATGGCGAGATGCTTGACAACTTGGCTCCGGTAAATGGGTAGAGCGAGTGGGAGGAATGGTCGAACAGATTTTTTCATCGTATTTCCATATTATCTCGTTAATTTCTTGAACAATTGCAAACATTTCTTCACGTATCCACATGATGTTGTTTACATGTCATGAGCCATCCAAGACATGACAAAAAAGTTTGGTGGAAAAGTTATCAGACAGTATTGCCAAAAAAACAACAATTTTTTTAACAACAATGGACTCATGACATTAACATACTTTAACTTATGTGGACACGAAATTTGAACTCGGCCGCATTGATATTTTACGATATTTCGAAACTAATTTTTGTATTATTTTTTTTATCACAAAAGTCAAAGAATTGCGTGTGTGATGTGAAAAACCTGAGCTCGTATCTTTATCCAAACATTCATATGTTCCACAAGACATGAATGTGCCATCAAAGAAATAGTCATGGCTATGGCATATTTTTAGCTAGTGTATTTACTGTATTCGTGTTGCTTATTTTTTATTTATAAAGTGTAACTATTACATGTTTTTACCGGAAAAAAATCAATCTATTGAGCAGCTACCATATCTGTTTGAACTGAATGCACATTGTAATATTGCTGTATTACAATTTTTTATTTGCTCTTTTACCTTTCATATGAACACTAAAAAAAACAGCATAAACCACAACAAAGTGAACATGCAGAAAAAGTCCAAAAGTAACGTAAATAACGTTTCTGCAAAAAAACTTTGCTCATATATTTACAGGGAAATCCATATACCACTGACGTCGTAATGTGTACGAGAGAGAAACGCGAGAAGGGTGCAATACGTGTGTTAGAAAGAAGCACGTTGTTCCCTAGCAAACCGAGTGACGAGGCCACGGACGCAGCTGCGGCTTGCTGCGTTGCCATTGGCGCACTCTATCATACATATTGCACGCTTCTCTCTCGTACACATTACGACGTGGGCCTAATTTGAACCTCACCATATATTTTTTTCTTTTACATCGTGCTGGTTTTTGGAATTGCTTCGTTATATTTGTTTCTGGACTCGACGTCGCGTCGGCTTGTCTGTTCTCTGCAGTGGGATTTTGTAAGAAGGTTCTGTGTGCCTCGATTTTCTACTGGCGAGCAGTGTCACACGATTTGTTAAACCAGCCGTTGGATTCTGGTTTAAGTTCTTTCACTGTATGAGGGATGAATTCCTCCTTTGCGATGTGGATAATTTCGCTTATTGAAGAACAGACATCCGACGCATCCGTGTCAGCGAAATAAGCATCTTCCAAAGAAAGGTAGAGAAGAAGTCTCTGAGTCCCTCCCAATCGGCATGCTCGTAATGCCAAATTTTGGCGAGTTTCTGCTGTCACATATATATTTATTTATTTATATGTAAGGATAATTTTGGCTTAGTCCTTCCCAAATTGGAGTTGGAGTTTGGAGCCTCCATTGTCTACCTTCAACAAAAAAGTAGGTTTAAGATGTTGAGTGTATACCTTTTGAATGTCTTACAAATGTGCTTCTCTTGTAATAGGAAAAATCGAAAAGTGTATCAAATATTTATATAAATCCTACAAAAATGTAATCTCAAAATATGGTTTCAAACCTAATTCATTATTATTATAGCTGCTGATTTCCACAGTAAAAACACACCTTTACCAAGAATGTTGCAAGAGTCTCAAACATTTGAAAAAGAAAACATCGCAAAAATTGTCTAAGCTGAACAACTGATTTTTTGTGATGTGTTGATTTCTTGGAAATCAATTTTGAGAAACGCAAATATATTCGTGATATCACTAACAGGAGCTAAAATGTCCCAGAGTTTACCACTTTACCGAGTACTGGGATTCGAATTTGACTGGGTACCTGGTACTCGGTATTTTAAAAAAGTATTCTACCGGAAGACATTTCGGCGTCCAAAAAATCATCCGAGATGAAATGAGATATCCTGGCGTCATCTATGAGAATTTGTCACTGCGATGCTATGTAGTGGGCTACAACGCCATCTATAAGGAACTAACCTTTTCAAAACAGATTTCTGATTATTGCAGAGAGGACAAACAGCGGAGTCAAATATGTCAAAATATATTTGTAAATGGCTTAGTGCTTCCTTTTAAGGATACCATACTAGATGGTGTTACTGGTCCAACTGCTGTCCATTTTGTGTGGTTTTGCAAATTGGGGGATGATGAATGATGCCTGTGTGCAATGATAGATTCATAATAAAAAGAAAAACCTGGCTGTAAAATCTCTTTTTTGAACCAGTACTTTTCACAAATTCAAGGTGTGCATATGAAACTAACTTCAGGTTCTTCATGAGCCCTGTTTATCCAGCGTCACATGACTTAAGAATAGACTTTTAAAATAACATTCTATAGCATCGCCAGATTCGAGAGATCGACGCAATGACGTCACTATGTGAACTATGCAAAGGGATTATTTAAAGCAACACTGTTACCAGTTGCCTCAGTTGTGGTTAAGGTGTCAATATGTCAGTGGGCCTCTAAATGTATATTTTTGTTTCAGAAGTATCAGCGATGAGTGACGAGACTACGGGGGCAGGGCAGGGGGCTCTGCCCCCGCGTGAAGGCCAGACTGGCCTAAGAACTGCATCTGACCGACCCCCAACATCTGGCACCACAGTGCGGTTAACCCAAGTTGTTGGTGGCCAGTATGTTATCACCTCGCAACCTCATGGAATGCCTTCATTGACACAGGTAAAAAACATCACCTCAATACATGCTTGCACTCAGCAGCTGAAATGATGAATGTTATCTGAATTTTTTTTGCTCTGTCCGTTTTACCAAGTAATGATAATAAATCTTCATTTCAAAATGACAGTGGATCACTACTGTGTATTACATCCTGTTAGATGAAATATACGTCACAGCGTCATCGAGACAAAAACAAACAAGTGAAGCAAATCAAAAAAACTAAAACAGAAGCTAAACACGTAACTCATTCAGATTTTACATTTCAAAATATTCCTGGAGGTTATATGGTTCTAAGTGCATTAAAGCCATGTACAGATATGTAACAACACCGCGAACCGCAGCGCGCGCATTTTGACGAACAGCATTGCAACGAACATCACCACATACCGAACGAAGTCGTGCAACCACATCGCGCAACAAAATGAGACGATCCAATTTTGATGTTTGTCGTTCAGTGACAGAGGAATACTAGTGGAAATGTATATAGAAGTAGCAGCGGCTGCCTATATGTATATTCAATACGCTACGAATTATCCAAAAACAAGCGACGACGACGTCCGAGACCAGGCCTCTCCAACTCGAGCACCTGGTGCTGGTGCGCTCCGGTGCTGAACCCAGCGGCACTGGTGCCGTTCCCCCTCCACCGCACAGCCGTCGGGCAGAGAGAAACATATTAGCCGACTGTCTCTCGGGCGCGGGCCATTTCTTAATAGGATAAGACAAAGTGGACAGGTTTTTTAGCGTCTCAACGTGCATCTTTTTTTAAACGATGTCATTCAATCCTGCATGGAAGAAGCCTATTTTTTGTAAATACTGATGGAAAAGCAAAATGTTTAATTTGTCATACGGTATTGAGGCCAGCCCTTCTAAGTTCTGAAGAGTTAATTATTAATTTGGTCGTAGTTGGTTATTATTAATGGTGTCGTAATGCAAGTTATATTGTTGCTTTGAAAATCGCAAAAAGTAGGAGACCGTTTACTGACGGTGCACTTGTCAAAGAATGCTTAGTCTAGTGTGCAGAAATATTGTGCCCATCTCCTGTAAGCAACTTTGAGACGATTAGTATGTCCGAGCAAACAATTTCTCGTCGGATACTTGAACTTGGTGCAGATTTAAAAGAACAACTGCGGGAAAGTGTCCATTTTGTGCAGTATTCTAAGCTCTCGACGAAAGTAAAGTCATTTCTGACACAGCATAATTAGCTGTTTTCGTTAGAGGTGTCGAAATAGTATTTACTATCACCGACGAACTACTAGACGTTATCCCGCTCAAAGATAGACTGGCCGGAGAAGATATTTTTGATGCTGTAGAATACACAATGAATGACATAGGTATACTACCCAATAGTTTGCGTAGTGTTGTTACTGATGGAGCGCCAGCAATGTTATCGGAAGCACAAGGTTTTACTGGGCGTATGAAAATAAAAGTACGCGACGCTGGGCTACCTCCGATATCATCGGTACACTGCATATTACATCAGGAACAACTACGTGCAAAAACCTTCCGTAATTTCAAATCGATTATGGATGTAGTAATAACACGTTAATTTCTGCAGAAAGCAAGGTCTCAACCACGGCAGTTTGAAGTATTTTTCAAAGACCTGGAAGCAAGTTACGGTGAGATACCCTTTTATTGTGTTGCGCGCTGGTTAAGCTGCGCAAAAGTGCTAAAGATTTTTTTAAATCATTGATGACGTTGAGATGTTTATGCAAATGAGATTTTTACGACGCCATCTTCAGTGCTTTTCGAAACAGAACCGCCGCAGTCCCAAATGGAGCTGATTAAGCTTCAATGCGATACGATCCTTAAAGATATATACTACCACTACAATAGTAATTTAATTTTGTTTCATCAAGGTGTTAAGCGGCAAGATTTTGCCAAAATTCTTGCACTGGCCTTGGAAACTTGCTCCATTATTCGGTAGAACGTACTTCTGTGAGCAGATGTTTTCTTTAATGAATTTGAACAAAACTAAAAACAGGTCTTTGTCTGATGTGTCCTTAGAGGCGATACTCAGAACTTCCACTGCTCAAGCCACTGTACCGAATATTAGAAAACTTGTTGAATCGAAACGCTGTCAAAGATCATCTTAAGAATAAATGTGTTTACGTCGAAATTATGAACAATATTTTATCACCCGCGCGTTGACTCGATCAGACCAATTCAAATGTCAATACGAATGTCACCACTCATCTTCCGCTGGGGCTGGGAGCCGGCGAAATTAAACTTTATCGCGAATTCGACTAAACTTGGTAATAATATGTATTTTTTAAGTAAATGAACAAAAAGGGCTTGGAATGCCGATGAAAGTACCTGTCATATCGACCTGAAGATACAACGTGACGGTAGGATTTTACCATAACCTATACGTATATCAACAGTCATGACGTTTCATATTCATTTTACATATACTTTCAAACATCTAGCAGCCTGGTGTCAAACTGGCAGACTCAAATGAGCTTTTAAATGTAAGCATGAACCATACAAACAGGATGTATTATTTTTATCTATTTGCATTGCCTGCTATAGCTTTCAGTCGGTACGACAGAAACTTCTGGCGGAAATCGGTTTGTCATACCATGTTTTTCCAAATGAGCCTAAAATTTCCATCAAACCTTCTAGGCTTCATTGGATTCGGTGAAATTCTCTTGTCACTCTGTATCTTTAAGTCGGTATGACAGGTAATTCTGGCAGGATGATCATTTACTTAAAAACTACATATTACTAAATTTAGTCGAATCCGCGATACTCAATGCCACCAGCTCCCGGGTCATTTCTATTCGCAGGGGGCTACGGTTAGCACAACACCTTCCTCGCGATGCGTATGCCGCTGCCTAATCCCTCCCCCACCTTCACGGAGTCACCCTGCAGCACTGTGCTGCGAGCGGTGCTCGGCGGTGCACTGGTGGCACCATTGGCACCCGAGTTGGAGAGGCGTGTCCGAGACGATGGTGGCAAACGCAGTTATATACCAATAAATCAGCACACCGTTGCAACAATTTGATAGCGGAATTGAAATTTCAACAAGTAAGTGGACATTGCAACAAGGATGTCTCCGACAGACTTTGAATATCTTCTCACGTTGATTGGACCAAAAATACGACGACAAGATACAAAATGGAGAGCTACCATCACAGTACAAGAAAGACTTGCAGTCACGGTGCGATTTTTAGCGACCGGTGATTTACACAGTAGTTTGCAGTACATCTTTCGAATTTCAAAGCAATCGATCAGCTACATCATTCCAGAAGTTTGTGGGGCATTGATGGAAGTTTTAAATGAAAATATACAAGTAAGAAAAATAATTATTTTACATTACAAAATAACACACTGGTGCTCGCCGCACCGGTATGTGTGTCCAAACATGTGCAACTTCGTCGCGAGCCATTCCTTTGATGTTGCGCTGAAAAATCGGCAGATCCTGGACCGGGCCGAACGGCGAACTGTTAACGCTAATTAGGTTCGCGACGGCGTTCTTTTCACTGTCTACACTAGCGCGGCGCGGTTCGTCGCTTGGTCGGTTCGCGGTGTTGTTTCATGACTTAATAATTGATGAATACTCTTTTTTACATTATTTTTATATCTGGCACCATTTTAATTTCTTGAGGCAACTTATTGTATATTTTAGTACAACTGTAATGGATATTTTTTTCGGTAACCGCGATATAATGACTGGATACAGAAGACTTATACGGTGAAATCTCCTTTGGGCGGACACCAGACCGACTGAAAATGTCCGTTCAAGAGGGGTATGCGTATAAAAGAAATACAACAAAAATCGACATTTAAAACGTGTATGTATATAAATGTTTATAAAATAAACAAAAAAAATTAATTTGAAAAAATAAAGGTTTTGTTACCTTTAGATATATATAAAAAGGATGTACATACAATCAAAATCACGAAAGATGACTATTACGTCATACCATAAATTGTACTGAAGTAATCAATGGACGTACGTCGATGATAAAATCACGATGTCGGGAACATAATGACAAATGTATTTTATGATTTCGCGAAGTTAGGTTATTTCACTGATCATTTTTATTTTCATTTTATTTAATGGTTTGAGTGATACCTTAATAATAATTTTAGTGGGGAGTTTTTGTTCTGAAAAAACAGTTATAGAGTAGAATACCTTAAAACAGGAACACCAAAGACCAAGTATTATTCGAAAACAACCTAACCTGCTTTAACATAACTATTCATCTTTCAAATATGATCGATCACGCAACATGAAAACATCGTCTATCTTTGTCGGATACATGGAAATTAGGAATACAGTTTGTTTATACAATAAAATTCTGTTTGTCTCTGTCTAACATATCTGAAACTGCATTAAAAATAGTCACAAATCGCTGTCGTTTATCTTTACTATAGACTAAAATGATGACGTAATCGTCATCTTTCGTGATTTCGACTATATGTACAATATTTGTATAATAAGCACGTACATATAGTATGTATGTATGTGTATACATATGTATATGTAGTTGTAGTAACACAAAACAATGAAATAAGAAGTCACTTTAAGGACACAAACATTCATATATTGTCGTTTGTCTCCTCTTTTTATTCAAAATAGCGTCTTGAAATCGTATTTCTAATTTAGAAACGAGCTCGAAAGACTCTGTATTTCCCTGATTTTCGACAATACTTTTGAGCTGCTTGGTCAGGGTAATAGCTTTACCATAATTTGGAATAGCTTCTGTTGGTACTGGAACCTCACTGACATTAGAATCTTCGAAAATTTCTTGTGTTTCAACTGGATTTTCAATTTCTTGAATCTTTCATCTAGGTTCAAAAAATAATAAAGGTTTTCATTGTCAGTCAATTTCAATAAATCCTTATTTTTGAGGATATTTGAAAGTACATTAAGTGGTAAGGTGGTTAAGTGGTTCATGCTTAAATCCTGCTTAACTGAAGCAGTTTTGCACTGTGCGTCCAATGACGTAATTTTCTTCATTAACTCGATGTTCACTAGCAGGTGTTTATTAATTAGACTTCGGTAATAAGTACAATTAAGGGTTAAAAATAACATTTTCATATTATTTAAGCGAATGTATTTTGGGATGAGATAATGCATTGTCTAAAAATAACAAAATGGTTCTTTATTCTTTAGAAATTTTCCATTCTAGGTCTTGCAACCACTCTGTCATAATTTGTCTCGTCATCCAAGCTTTCTTATTGCTTTTACAGTTACAGGCAGGGCATTTCTGTTAATGTTTTTAAAAGCTCTGAGCTTAGCTGCCTTACCAATAACTAGGAGTTTTTCTTTTTAACCCGCCATATTTACACAGTGCGAAATTGTAAACCTATCTTTGGTATACTTACCCCCAACACACTTCCTTCTTTAATGTGAGTGTTTTGTCGGGTAGAGCCCTTTAGGGCTGTATTTTAATACAGGCCTGTCTCAGTGGCATTATAGATGTCTCTCGGTGAGTATCCCTTGATCAAAGAAGAGAATATTTACACAGTGCAAAATTGTAAACCTATCTTTGGGATACTTACCCCCAACACATGTTTCCTTCTTTAATGTGAGTGTTTTGACGGGTAGAGCCCTTTAGGGCTGTATTTTAAGACAGGCCTGTCTCAGTGGCATTATAGATGTCTCTCGATGAGTATCCCTTGATCAAAGAAGGGAATTGTCTTAAAAACGATGAAACATCTTCAGCATTAACAAAGGCTCCTTCTCCTCAAGAGAATGTCCGTCCAAGAGAGAGTTAATACAATGTAAATTATATGAGTGTCGGTCGGGATCATGAGAAACTGTCCGTGTAAGAGAGGTTTCCACAAAGGGGAATTTCACTGTATCTCAATTTCATGTGTTATAATCACTTCGTGGGTTACCGATAAAGTTGTCAATATCTTGAATATACCTTGCGGCTACAGTTAAAATTTTATTGCTATGGAATTTTCCTCCACAAGTTTCTCCAGAGGCAATTTTTCGAATTTATCTCAGCAGTCGCTTCTGCACTAGAAAGATCCTATTGGTATGGCTAGCATATCCAAGATAAATTATGCCAAAACGTGCAATGGGCGCAAAATTCGCGTAATTTACCATTTTTAGTGTAATATGCTTAGCCGAGGAGTGCTTGGTCAATATAAACTCCTAAGAATTTCCCACAATCTGTCAGCAGGACTTCTACTCTTTGGGCAAAAAGGATGTTTGTAGGTTTTTTTAGCTTAAATACAATCGCATTTGTTTTTGAGGTATTCAGGGATAATCCATTACGATCAAACCACAAAAACGCTTTCTTGCATAGGCTCAAAGTACTTCCAGCTACATGGTTAAAATGTTGGCCAGATATCAGTACACAAGTTTCATCAGCGTATTGATTCGTGCATACATTATTTGGGCTTGTAATACTAGCACTCAGGTCATTCACACAAATTAAAAAGAGTAGAGGTTCTACATAAGACACTATCTTGTGGAATACTTCTTTCTATCGTTAACTGTGATGAAACAGCTGATATTCCATTAGTATTAAATTACTTGGCTGTATCTAAGCAGCAGCACTGTTTCTTGGAAAAGTAAGTCAATTTTAAGAATGAGGGAACCCTTCAAAAACACATATACCATACTCTTAATATCACTAACAGTAAATGAAATAACACAGAGCAAATCACTGCACCGAGTAATGGTACTCGGCATTCAAATCTGACCAAGCACCCGGTACTCGGCCGTTTGAAAGAAACACTACTCGGTTCATCAATAACAATGTTCGCTAAACTGATAAATTCAGGAGCGCTTTGATCTGATAGATTGCTTTGTTTCCAGATCAGTCCAAGTTCCGTGTCAAGCAGTCCGGGCAGCATGGGTGCCCACGCTGGTCAAACAGGTGTAACCCGAATAATCAGTATCAGTCCTTCGCGCAGTCAGTCAACATCTCCACTGCGCCCCAGCGTAGCCAATCAGTCCATTGTCAATGTGCTCACTTCAAAGACCAGACCAGGCACAAATGTGCGACTCCAGCTTTTCTCTTCCTCTGGAGATGGCCAGATGGGGCAAACTACTAGTGCCACTTTGTCCCCTAGGTACAATTAATTAATTACCATTAAATATATGGTTTTAAAATTTTAGTCATTTTTTTTTTTGAAGTAGTATGTGTAATTGTGTTATAAACCCAAAAATACGCGAATAGTTCAAGTTGATGAAATAAGAATAATAAATAAAGTAGACTTGATATACCATGTTTTCAGTGTTAGGGTGTGGTACAGAATGTCATCTTCCAGGGTTCATACATCTCTAGCCACATGCCATGGTATAAACAAAGCAGATGCCTTCGATGCATATAAATAGACCATTATCGTTAAAATTCATTACCTCCGCCAATGTGAGGTGTCGGTAAAATCTGCCATTCCTTAATAAAATTGTCTCCTATCTCATTTTTAACCCTCCTATGCCTGCGCAAATTTTGTTACACCTATACCCGCGCGCGGTGTCAGCCCGAATGTTTGGAACCCTGTTCTATATTTTCATAAATCAACACCTGTGTGAATAACAGCAACATAAGTGTCTCGCACAAACGCACAGAGTACGTACACTAAAGTGAAAAGTCAGCAACAAACCAGGCAGCTAGCAGAAATCTTGATTCGTCAGCGTTTCCAGGAAAATAATAATATTTGAGTGTTTCGTCGGGTTCAGAGACCAATGCGCGGGTATAGGAAGGTTAAACAAGAGAATTGTTATAAACTTGAAAATGTGCATAATAAAATTTTTCATTGCCGCCCCAGCTTCCACACCTCAGATCACACTGCTATCCCAGGAACTCGATCCCTGATTTTGCCTACACTACTGCCATGGTGATAGGTATGTCCTGGCCGTCATTTACAAACAGTTTCCAACCATCATTTGACCAAGTTAACATTAAATGTGCATTTTGGGCTCGTTGCCAGAACACCCCTATATAGCTAATATATGGGTCCGCGCCAGACGCATACCGCATGATAGCCAGCCTGATAGTTGTGATCACATTGCCCTCCTAGGTTCCCACCTGCAAGAGTGCATACTTTTTTTCCAAGGACCAACTGCTTTACTGCTAGCTCCTTACCAGCCAGTACTGATTCTGTCTGCAGTATTGCCACATAACTTAACATTCACTTCTTACTCGAAGCTAGCAGCAAAGCTCATGCCAGTTTAGCCTACAAAACATGATGTTGGGCTCATTCCTTTTTCGGCGAGAATGCCTACCCCAGGCAGTCCTGGGCATTGCTGATCTTGCGCGCTGCCATCAAGTTGCAATGCCTCGGCATGATACAGCTCCGTTCAGATTATTCTAGTGACACAGACGAGGTGTCACCTGGTAGACTGATAAAATATATTGTCTTCAGAATTGTCAATCGAACTTCAAAAAGGCCACCATGGTTACCGAAACGTCGTTGTTAGTAAATAGTATTGTACCCCACCAAAAATACTTGGATAATTCAAGTTAATGAAGATATTAACAGTCGCGTACTTATACCGAGTATAGAGCATTTAGGTGTTGTACCCTTCTCTAGGCTTGTAGTACTGATCCTTGTCTCTCTTGACAATTTGACAAAATATAAATAAACTGTGTTTTAAAAAAGTATGAGTCTATTAGGAAGTGTTTGTGGGCAGAGGTGGAAAATATGTGTAAGAGGGGAAAGGTGAAATATGCATGTTATTAAACCTAAGTGGTCATTCCTGATGGATTTTATTGTACAAGCAACAGGAGTTTTTAGTCCGTACCGAAAATTGACAAGAATTGTCGTAAATTGTGCGATTTACGAGCGACTTTTGAGCATCAAGAAATGTGATCCTGTTACATTGAAGTCTTCAATAAGACACGATATTCAAAATGTTGAACAAATCTCGATATTTTAGTTGACGCAAAGACATGTATTTATTTATGTGCTAATAATCTAGGTGTTGTAATTGTCATTTCAAGAAGCTCGAGCCCATATAAGTATGTACCTGCCTCATTATTAATAATATTCCTCAAGGTCATTACAGTTGAAATGGTAAAAAATGTTTCGCACTTATTCTGTTGTAAATAGACAAAACGCGTATATTCTGGAAAGGGTATTTATGACAACGTTACAGAAACTAAAACGCCTACAGCAAAAAACATTTCATTGCTGATGTCCGGTTATGTATGCTAATTTATATATAGTGTGTCATATGTCAATTTTGCCAAGTGATACTGTACTAAAATCGATATTCCACATATTAAATAGAATAAATAAATGAAAAAATACGTTTATTATAATAAATCTTCGCAGGGGGTTAAAGCGGCCGCCAACTTCGTCCGGCGAAAAGAAGGACAGTTACGCGTCGAAGCTACAACGGGTGATGAACCATCGGATCGTGCGGTCGAAACTGGTGAAGGAGAAGTACAACGAGCATTTGCTGGAGGCGTACTATCTGGAGACGGGCAGCAACATCCTAGACCTGTATCAGTTCGCGAAAAAGCCGAAGACGCAAGCATACCTGGCCTACCTGCGCGACCACGCCATCGACCCGAAGGAGTACCAGCAGCAGGAAACCTCTATGGAGGTGACGTCCACTGTTGGGGTTACTGTACCTATGACTACACCGGGTACGCCGAGTGCCACGGCAGCGAGCTCTTTGCCTGGCATCTCGCACGCCACCAGGTAAAATAATCTTTTACTTTTTAAATATCAGTTAAATAAGTGAGCTAAAGAATTGCGAGAGAGATGGTACTATTCAATTCTAAAATTTAACGTCATATTCCTATTTCAAATATATATTTTTTATATATAATAGCTGCTATTTTTAATAGACAATGCGAAATCGACGGCACCGCTGAAAAGATCTTGTTACTAACGTTATTTCCTAGTTACATCTTTAAGCAGTACTAGCACAAAGACTTAAAATGTGCCCAATGTGAAAAGTCGTCAAAGTTAAAAGAAACTTAGTTTAATAATGAAGAATGAACGTATAATTTCATTCAGATTATTTCGATAGTTGAGAAGCGAAGTGTCCCTTTGCCCTATTCAAATCTTCTTTACGCCCCGTCAAAACAGACACCGGCGCACAATCTCTCAATTTGCGACCTCTTATTGGCCAGCCATCCAAACATCTCGGCACACAGTAACAGGCAAATAGATAAATCGATGAAGCTTTAGGTTTATCGCGAAATAAATGAGGTTTGAATAGCGTATAGGAAGTTTTCTTGACCTTGATCGTCTCCAAGTTGAGATTATGATTTCTAAAAAGGAAAAAATGGCCATGGTGCTAAAAGGTGTATAACATCTATTATCCCTGAGGTCGCCAAATGACTAAACTTAAACTCAAATTAGTAAGTAGTACAGGAAGGGATCAATTGAGCGGGATACTCTATCGTATAGATCTGAACTTATGGCTGGCAGGAAGTGCCTGGCCGTGCTAGATATTTAGAAGTTCATTCCTATTTTTAGTTAAGTTTCTCATCTGATACCTGAATATCTGCTGTCTATCCAACTTAATTGGTGTACAGGCGTTCAAAGTAGATATAAACGGAACTCTTTGCCCCACTTTTGTCTTCTGTAGAATAAAGTATGTCTGGCAGTCCTGATATCTTGGACTATTATGAATCGGGACGTTAGGCAGCGGCCATGATGTCAAATTCTCTTTTTCGAACATTTACCATAACAGTAGGGAAAAGGTCAAAAAATTGAAAGAACATGTTTAATTGACAGAGCACAATACTTAAAACCGGTTGACAGTCTATTGTCTGCAAGTTCTTACATTTACAATACGGCATTATTTTGTCTACAAGACAATTGCATCCAATTACTTGCAGCTGCAAGATGGCCATGTTTCATTGATTCTGAAGTGCAAGGTTATCCAACCTAAACAAATGAAATATTCCATGTCCCATTCCTAACCTATTATTTGGTTTTTGTTTTTTAAAAAACTAGTTTCAATCGGCGACCATCCAACGCCATAACACGATCAAACCTATATTTGTAAACAAATGTAACCACACAAACCACCGGACCGATCTAGGGACATATGCATACATTGGTAACTTGTAAGTTACTAAATATTCTACCAGAATTCCAGAGAAACTTTCATGAAAAATCCAACGCAAGACTTGCCAGATGCAAATAAATCTACAGGAAGAGTCGGCTGTTTTGTTACTACGCATGCGTCTGATCCACATTTCACTTGTATCTTGCTGACTGTATAACGGGTATAAATGACAGATTTTTTTAACAAATTCAGGATGAACTAGGGCATGTTTCAAACGCGGAAACTGCGCGAAGTTTATATAAAGAAAACGCTATGACGATATGTTGTTCATGATCCTGGTGCCTTCTCATAAGCTGGTCATAAACATATCTAATAAGAATGTTTTCAAAGCAATTGCTGTTTTCTACATGTTTATAACCATCGTTTTGAATCATTAAAATGCAGCTCATCCACATACATATATTAATTTCATCCTCGTTAATTCGAGTTCATTCACTAGCACGTCGATGGTATCCACCCACTCTACCGCCTCGACGGACTCCTTGAAAGCGTCCGCTGTGGCTAAGGCGAAGTCCCAGTTGATCGCGTCGCCATCGGCGTCACCAACTCCTGGTAGCACGACGGCGCCGACTACTACGGCCACGGCGGCCACCAACCAGGAGTTGATAGTGGAAAAGGCCAAGCAGGAGGCGTACGTCGTCCAGAGGATCTCCGATTTGCAAAAGGAGGGGCTATGGGCTGAACGGCGGCTTCCGAAGGTAGGTATATCATATTAATTTACAGGAGAACAGTAGAGATCGAGCGATACCAATAGGTTATGTGGACAGTATCAGCTTATTTTGCCGTATATGAATCTGTCGTTGACTGCCTGTAATCCGATATGGACGGACTGTTACAAATCATAAAATTAATAAAGTTTAAAATTATTGAATTGAGAAAAACCAACATAAACACATCTTTTCATTAATTTTATCATTGCAACCTTTCCTATTTCGCCAACGATTGTCAGTCAGTCTTTTGATCGAAAAGTTTGTCGAAATGAGAGTACGAAAATGCCGTAGTGATGCACTGAGTACTCGGTTTAAAAACCGGTTTCGCCGAGTGTTGAAATACTCGGTTTGAACAACTCTTGTAGATCAAAAAATTGTAGACATGATATACAATTTCTGGGCTCATGTATCTTTCTCAAACCTTTTTGATACGTTCTCACAGAGATTAAAGTAGATTTGGATAGTTTTTTTCTGTAAATATTGATAGGCCTTCTCTATTCAGTTTGTATGTTTACAGTATTTGTGCAGCTTATTGTTTATAGACAAGATGTTACTACATATTTTTATAAAAAATACGGTACTTCATGGAGCAGCTACTATATTAGTTAAACTGCAACCACATTCTACTATTCACTTTTTTATACTTACCTATATCGAGTATCCCATGGAACTCTTTACTCATAGGTGAGTATAATTTAGTTTCAGTCCTTTCCGTATCTGAATTGACCCCGCCACTTCATTAAGTAGTTTTGCTTTTCTTTTGTAATTGTCAGAAACCTGTACTTAATTTCAGTGTTCGTGATGGCCATGACACGGCAGCAATTCTATTAGGCAATTTCTCAAAAATTAAACAGCTTGAGGCGTCGCGTTGCCTATCTTCATCAAAAATCTACGTTCATGATTAACTGTGGTGCGTTCTTTTTGTTGAAAAAGCAAATCAAATTTGAGAAGACCTTTCAAAAACGCAAGTAATACCACTAACAGATGAAATAACCCACAGCGAATCACTACTAGGTATTCGAATCTGACTGAATACCTCGGTACGCGGCCTTTTGAAAAAATTAGTACTTTGTGCGTCCGTCAATGTCGCATCACGTTAATAAGCATAAGCATACGGTTGGTATATTTTTGATTTATTCCGCAGAATGTTTGTCATTTGAGGTGGGATTTCAAAATAAGTTGCTCATTGACATTGTCACGGTTTCTCTAGATTTTTGCACAGGTGAATGGTTTTTTAATTTTGATTAAAACATGTATATGTCTCACATTACTATTGTCAAATCAACTTTCTATATCCAAGGTAGTTGACTTGTTTTTTGTTTAACTACAATGAATAGAAAGGAGATTGAAAATGTAACAATACCAAACAGACTTAGCAATTCAATAGCTAGTTTGTATGCACGTTACATACATTCACAAAAAATTGTATTCCAAAAGAAATTGTTGAATTTGCATTTTTGAATGTTTGTTATCCTAAAATTTCTCACATCAGCAATATTACAATTGCACTTTCATATACAGATTCAGGAAATGCCGCGGAATAAGGCACACTGGGACTTTCTTCTTGAGGAAATGCATTGGTTGGCGGCCGATTTCGCTCAGGAGCGTAAGTGGAAGAAAGCTGCTGCCAAAAAATGCGCTAGGATGGTACAGAAATATTTCCAGGTAAATATAATGTTTAATAATGTAGCATCTGAAATCTATTCTGGCCATTAACTGACAGGACTATTAGAGCCGTTTCAAATGTCAGTGCTGACCGTCAGCACCTATGCTATCGCGTTTTCACATGCTGCATATGATCAGTTGTTCAATATGTATGTGCGAAACAACATCGTGCGCGCCGTTGCGATTTATATTATTTACGTAGAAGACGACAACAAAAACCGATGAAAAAGAGGTTGTGGGTACACCCCCTTGTACTAGAGCGAAACGTAGCAGGTGCATTCGTAACATTATACGCCAGCCTCAGAGAAGATGAAAGAAATTTTATAAATATTTTATAAATATTTTTGAATTTCAATAAAATCATTTGACGAACTGCATTCCAAATTAGAAAGTAACCTGAAATTTACTGACAAAATACGAGTTTCTATTTCTTGTACAATAAAAGTTATGCAACCTGATATCAACCAGTTTTGTTCACCTAAATCCTTATTTTCTTGCTCAGACATATTACCAAAATCTGCAATCACTATTTCAGCACACGTTCAAAAGCAGCATATTTCTTATCACGGTTTTTTATAATCCTCCTCAAGAGAATCCCAAATACATGTTGTCTTCTTGTATTGCAGCTATTAATAGTTTTGGGTATCAATATAAATGTTATTACTTTCCTATCACTCATTTTATACACTTTAGGCAAATACCAACACACCAATAAACAAACCAAATCAGGAAAACACTGCAACACCGCTCGCCGACCATCAGCTTGCATGTGAAATATACCAAATTTACAATAGCCCTACCTCGTGTTGATGGTGAGCAATCAGCTCGGGCTCAGCTGTCGGCCCGACGGACGATACGTGCCGAACGGATCATACGCTAGGCATGTGAAATGATTCATTTACGGTAATACATATATTCATCATCACTGACAGTCAGCGCTGAGAATCAGCTACATCTGAAACGGCTCTTAGGCTCTCATTTCAACACGCTGTATTGTAGCGGCAAAATAAATGGTGTCATCTGAATACAGATAAATGTAAAATATAATCTCTGGACATATTCGACTAATCTGACTATAGGTGTTATTCAAGTTTAATGACGTCTTTTAGGCGAATGTCACATGATTAGCATTATTGATTATTCCGTTAGTTTCAGTGGATTTCTTTGTAACCATATGCATCAATAATAGGGAACATGCATGATGTTTTTTTTAATATCTTATTACGTTAATACAATATAATCCCATATTTCATTTATGGACATGTTTATATCTTTTTAATTAAATATTTAAAACTACTATGTCAATAGTGTGACGTTTCACGTATGGAACTGAATTTTTGATTAGATCCGATTGTTTGCGATTATATCATTTGAGTCTAATTTACGTCATTATTTTTAAGGATAAAGCCTCTTGCTGCCCAACGTGCTGAAAAGGCACAAGAACAGCACTTGCGACGTATGGCCGCATTTTGTGCGAGGGAAATCAAAATATTCTGGAGTAACGTTGAAAAAGCTTGTTGAGTACAAGCAAAACACCATCCTGGAAGAGAAGAGGAAGAAAGCGCTCGACCAACAACTCAGCTTTATCGTCGATCAGACGGAGAAGTACTCACAGGTAATAATTTTTACTGTCAAATAATTTGTATGTTGAAGATTTATTTAGCTTTAATGCCACAAAGTCAGTTTTTGTATAATTATTCGCTTATTCATTTTTTCTTCAATTCATTTTCTGTAATTTTACATTCTTATCTATTAAAATTAATCACTATGCATTTTGAGTATTCATAAAGTGATTTTTTAATTTCACCTCAAACATTTTTAAATTCGAACACTGTTTAATATCATTATTCAATTTATTAAATTCATATACTTCCTTTTGAAATACAGATTTGCCTAGTTATGCTGCGATTACAATTTTGCAGATGATTTTCTATACTGCCTCTAGTTTCGTCGTTATGATAGTGACTATTTAATTTGTGAGTTTCTAAATGTGATGGTAATAAGTGATTTTTTAATTTGAATATGAAAAGAAGAACTAAATACATGAAATTTTTCACATTCACCCGCTGTAGTTTCTTCTAACTCAAACTTGATCCTAGCATATTTGTTTCTATTAAAATGTTCTCATAGCTTTATTTCGTAGAATTTGTAATTTTTAAATCATGTTTTCATTTGCTGCAACAATATAAAAAATGGGGAAGAATTATAGTGTTATACACAATTTATTTGTAATACATACTAATTTATGGGTAACTCTGTAGAAGAAATGTATATTTTTTGATATTTTTGAAATAATGTATTCATAATGCTCGTGAAACAGCAGTTAACTATCGACATATACAGGTATACCCAGATATTTAAACGATTCGACTACTTCAATGTTTTCATCATTATTATGAGCCTAATTGTAATCACTTAATGTTTCCCTATTGACATAATTTTGTTTTATTAGTGTTTAATTGAAACAGATAGGAATTTTCTGACAGCTATGGGTGTCCTCATCATCAAAGACCCAAACTTTGTTTTGAGCCTTGTTCGGCACATCGTAATAATGGAGCCAGTCTCGTCACCTGTCACAGGCCTGTTCACATACGAGATTGCCCCTTTTCAAACATTTTCAGCATCTTTCGGCACCAACTCTTAAGACGAGTCTTCTGCTCTCCCGTCAGACTATGCGGTACCAGAGAGAACAAAGATTCTTTACGTGTAAAAATGGGCATGCAGAATTGATTACATGCTGGTGCATAAGAGTCTAAGGTCTCCTCTATCTGTTTGTATGTCACTCTCCGGTCTTCGTCAAGCATTTTTCCTTACAGCAGTAATGTTTTTCCTCTGTTAGTGATGTTTGAGGCCTTCCTTCCCTCTCAGCGTCCTCAAAGAGTGAAATTGCCCCTTTGGAATTCCTTGTACCACCTGAATATAGTCGTACGATGAGGACAATCATTCTTTAATGCAAGCATCATTTCTTCTAAGCACCAGTCTATGCTTAAACCACGCGTAAAGTTATACCGTAAAACTGCCTTCATTTCACTACGTGAGCACGATGCCATAGTCCGCACTTTACACTGTCAATACGAATGAACAACTAAATCAACAGACGTGCTGCTGGCAGATAATGCACTCATGGACATGTCTCAACATGCAGTAACATCCAGTTTTTTTACTTCTATTTACTAAACAATTTTGTAAAATGCTTAAGACCATAGTGATGCAATTTCATTCACAATGATTCACCAATAATAAATAATTTCTCCAATGATATTGAAACAATCATTCAGAATCTTTTTTGAGAGATTCTCACTTGGATTTTTATTAGATTTCAATTCTGAGATAGCTTTTCTTAGATTGTAGACGTTAGTTGTCCTAAATTGATTCATTGGTGAATTATGATACAGTTGTAATGAACATAAGTTTGGATCACTGTCATCAATAGTCTTCACTATTTGTTTTGCACTGTCTATAAAATAAGTGTTCATTCTTTGTGCTATAATATTTTTTCCGTCACTACCCCATCGTCGAAATGCATTTTAGATAATTCATTCTTTCTATTTGGAGAAAAAATATTCTTTAATGTTTTCCACATCATTTTAGAATTATCTTTATTGCTGTCTATCTTCTTATCATAGTATTTTTCCTTTTCCCTTCTGAGAACTGCTACACACTCATTTCTTGTTTTTGTATATTGTTTCCTATCATTTTCACTTTTGGGTTACTAAAAATTTTCTGTAGTCATCATGTTTTAATTTAGACTCCTTGAATATCTGTGAAAACCAGAGTGTAGGGTTCACTCTTTCATATACTATTTTCTTGACCATAGTTTCACTCATATATTTATCCATAATTTGATCGAAGTAGTCGACATTATTGATAATTTCAGATATATTGTGTTGAAAAGTGGTTCTCATAACTTTGTGATATCAATTACTGTAATTTCTTTCATTTTATTTTCCATTGAACATATTTTCCACTTCGAAAATATATCCATGAGTGATCACTATTTCGGGGGATGCTCAACTTCAGCAATTAGATTCTGTTCATTATTTATGAGCAAATCTAATTTTGTTTTCCTAATCCTTGTATAGTCACTTATTTCTGCCATAATCCATGGAAGTTTAGTGCTTGTTTTAAATTTTCTAACATAGAAATCTTTACTGTTAAAATTTATATTGAAGTTCTCCTAAATGTACATTTGTGCAATTCCTGGAATGTTGTTCACATAATATACTTTCAAAAAATTCAACAAATCGATTGACGCATCTACTTTGAGGTCGGTAGTAAATAAAGAGACTGTAATTTTTTTGTATCCTTATTTTGTTGATGTACCACCATTGCTATTCAACAACTCCAATGTTCTGTACTTATATATCAATATACCACCTGTATGCTTCGAAACAGAGGTAACTCTTACAACTGATAGCCGTGAATAACGATCAATCCCTCCTCAATATCTTCTGTTATATGTGTTTCTGTTAAAGTATTAATGGTTTCTCTAATACCAAGAAATTTAAAATCTTGTACTAGAAATTTAAAACCTTGTATTATTCTACATATTTTGTTGAAGAGTGAGTGGTTTGTGTCAAAATTTGTATTATACCTCAAATTTTATTCCTTGCAGTTTGGATAATTCACCTCATTTCTTGGTGTTTCACAGGTTTGAGACTGATGGTCACTCTCACCACATTATATGCAAACACTCTTCTTTGTACAGTTTTTTGCTGTATGGTGGAATCCTGAGCAGTTAAGCACCTCAGGAGATCATAATGCTCGAACACTGTACACACACATCCATTAATACAAACAGTAAACCTTTTTTCATAATTATTTTAAATGTTTGCTCATCTAAAGCCAGAATTGCGTGATATCTGTATTTCATTTTTTTAATTGGCACTACGTTTACCATCGAATCACTGCTTATAATATTGTTTCTTTCTTTCAAGTCTCTAATCATCTCTTCTTTATCGAATTCCTCTCTGAAGCCTACATGTTTTCTACTACATTCAATTTTCACTGCCCCATCTTTCTGATCGCTAATTTTTTTTTATAGAGACATTTATTTTTGAAGGATTTATATATTTGCAGAGTACCTTTTTTGTGTGTAAACATTTTTGATTTTTATCGTTTGGTTTTATTATAACTGTCTTTTCTAGTTGTTCTGTAGAAGTAACCAAATTTCTATTAATGTTTGTATCTTTGACTGTTACTCGGTGTTCTGCATGTGTTTCTGTTTTATTGTTGTTAGATAGAGTGGGAACTTCAGTAATGTTAGTGTCTTTATCTAGATTTACTACTTTTTTTGTAATTCGTCTAATTTCGCTTGCAATTTTGCTTTCTTTTTTTTGCAGCACTTTCATCAACAAATCTTGTATGTGAATTGTATAATCCTTCATTTTTATCACATCTTCCACTTGAAATCTCTTTTCATTTTCGGTATTTCGTGTGTTTCTTTTTGCTTTCGTTCAGCGTAGCTTTTTTAATGTAGAGAACTGGGTCACCAGTGACAAAAAATTGTCAGTTATGTCACTGATCTTCTTCGAACCGCGGATCTTCGAGAAAGGGCCCTGGATCAGCAGCCTTCAGTTTAGAACATTCCCCAATAATCTCCAACTATTCTAAAAAAGATGCCAATATAAAAAATTCTGCCTCAAAACCACCTAACTCTTTTCTATACCAGGAGCAATTTCAATTCAATGAACTATACCGAGCGTATCCACATAACACCTACTTTATAAGGGAATCTGTAATGCTGAGGTTAGCACTCAGTTTTGTAGCGCCATCCCTGGGATATACTCCGAACTTTTTGTAGAACCTATACGAACTGTTATAGAACCCTTTAAAAATATAGAATTCCTAGCGCCATCTTGGACTTCCCTCTTACACTGAGTAGCCAAATTTGAATTAAATATCAAATTATATACAAGATATTTTAAGTAAAATAAGGCTCAACCTGATTTTATTTTTAAAATGTGTATTTTTTAATACAATACGTGAACATAACAGTTATGCAAGTTGTTAGTAATCTAAAAATAGTAGTTATTATCTATGTACCATGTATATTTACAATTATCAATTTCTCTACTCCCTTCATGAGCTTCGGGACTACTCTGAACATTTTCCAAAACCATACCTCAAAAGAGAATGAGGAAGTTTCCTATTTTTCAAAATACACTCAGAATGATAGTCTAAGTAAAATGAAGTACAGAGCTGAAATTTTTTTTTGAATATCTTGAAAAATAACAAATTTACGCTAGTCAGAAGTTTATTATTTGGAGAATCGTGTGGTGGGCCGGGCGAGTGAGTGATGACGTCACATGGCGGAAGCTCATCAGCCTAGCACCACTGCAAGGAGATGCGCCCGCCGCGCCGCGCCACAAACGCTTCCCC